GTAAAATGTTGCCAAGAGGCAATGGGCTGTACTGCAGCTGATACAGGAAGTTGGCATCTCTTCGAATTATGCACGGTGTGACTGGGGGCAAGATAAATAAGATCACCACAGATCTATTAGGTCTTAGAGTTGGGAGAGAACAGGAGGGAAAGGCAAAGAAAGAGGGTTGCTCTGCTATTCTTAGGGCTGGAAAAGGAGAATTTGGCATTAATTTTCCATCCACTGTCAAGAAAAGAAAAAAGAAAAGAAAAGACAAGACAAGACAAAAGACAAGACAAGACAAGACAAGACAAGACAACCTTCAGTGCCATTATTATTATTACCCCAGAATTATAATAGAAGAACAATACTGTAATGGCATTGAAGCTTTTTATTTTATTATTTTTATTATTTTACAGGATTAATAACTTACTTCATGATTTTTGTTTTATTCTATTATTATTCTATTTATATTTTATCATTTGATTAATATTTTTTCATTGTTTTTTATTATTTTATCTGTTAGTATTTACATTTTGCTTTATTATTTTGTTCTACAATAGTCATGTTTTATTTGTATCTTATTATATTTGCATGTTATTATTTTATATTTCATTCTTTTGCATTCTTTTATTTTGATTTTGTTTTTTGTATTCTGCAAAGGAAAAATGCATCGGCCCATGCCCTCTTTGCAACCGAGCATACAAAGTGACCGGAGCAATCATATTCTGTGTGGATCGATATATATGTGTTGGATTTCTACCCCACCTTTCCTTCAACTGATTCAGATGGTATATAGAGTATTCCCATTTCCATTTCCCCTACAACAGCCTTGTGAGGTAGGCTAGGCTGAGTGAAAGCGATGGCCCCATGTCTCCAAGGGAGCTTTCATGGTGGGGTTGCACTTGAACCTGTCTCCCCAGACCTCCAGCCACTATTCCACACCAGCTACCTTTCTTCCAAGATTGGTAGGCATAAACCTATATAACCATGAGAGCTAGAAACTTGGGGGATTTGAGCCCTGTCCCGATAGACTGAAGAGAGGCACCGAGAGGGAGAAAGCCAGGCCAGCAAGTAGGTTAGCACATTACAGGATGGATGGCTTAGCCCAGGCACAGCAGGGGAGCCAAGATGAATTAGCGCTGTCTGTTTAACCTGGGTTTTGGGAGCGGGGTGTGATCGATTGCCCATCCGCTCCGATTACTTCCACAGCAATGCCCGAAGCTGGATCAATTTCCCCAACGAGGGGGCATTTCCATAGCATGATGGATCCCCTGCCTGACTGTAGGGGCCCCCAGGAGATCTGGGGCTTCTGCGCAGAGACAATGCGGACAGGCCAAGTCTCCTTTCCACAGCCTTCCCCGCGCATGACGATACCAGCAGATGCCATGAAGCCACACACTCCCCCCACCCCACATCCCCGTACTGGTGCCCCTCTGCCTGCGCTGGGATGAATGCCGTGCAGAAAATGTCTTGTGCATTTTTTTCCCTACCAGATTGCAAAGATCTCATCTGTGGAGTCCTTGGGGTTCTGTGAGCTTGGCGGTTTGGTTGCAGACGTTTTGTTACCCGACTAGGTAACGTCTTCGCTGATGTTCACTGAACATCTTCTTCACTGAAGGTGTTACCTAGTCGGGTAGCGAAACGCCTGCAAGCAAACCACCCAGCTCAGAGAGCACCGAGGACTCCACAGTTCAACCCTGAGCTACAGAGATTCCCTTCTGCGAGATCTCATCTGAAAAGAGAATTTTGGAGAAATCTTCCTGGACAGCCTGGGAGGATCTTGCCCTCCATGAATGACGAGATGGCCAAGGGGGATGTGGAAATATCCAGAGTTTCATTCCACAATCTTCTCTACAGCCTCCCTGGCTTCCCACCGTTACGTTAGGAAGACACCAGGAAGGAGCGCCTCCCCAATGCATTTTCAGATTGGGAAGCTGAAGGCAGCCGGGGAGTTCCCAAAAAGGCCTCTCTCAGGTGTAGCCTCACCTGCCACCTGCAGCCCTCTCTGAACCCCATGAAGAGAAAGTGGAAGGAAGTTCTCCAGGTGGGAAAACAGAAGCCTCTTTTGCAGGGAAAGGAAGCTTTTGAGAAAATGCCCAGTTAGTCTGGCTGGAGGATGCTTTTCTTTCAACATCTCCCATGGGAGCTCCGCTCGGGTCCCTGCAACGCGGGGATTGAGCTGGGCACCTTTGGGGAGGGTGCTTTGCTGGGACAAAGGTGCAGACCCAGCAGGCCCCAGAAGCTGCTTCACGAAACAATCCAATCTCTGAAAGCAAAGGGCCGGGGCTGCTGCTTTGCTTCGTTCTGCTCCCTCCGGATTTGGGTCCCTCCAGCCCTTGTGGTAGCTGGAGGGGCTTTGAGCCTCCAGTTCTGGCTTGAAGCATCACCGGAGGAGGCTCAGAGAGGACCGGGAGGGGACGGAAGGGCTTCCCCGTGGCAAATCACATCGCCTCTTTGCCTCGAGACGGAGAACCTGCACAACACAGCAGTACAAACCGCCTCTCTGAAGCAAAGCCAGGCGGGTTTGCCCAGGGCCGCTCCGTACCGTTTGTTTTGCTGGACTTCGATTTCCCTTCGGAACTCGTCACTTGTTCCAAACGGTGCCTGGCCGACAGAATTTAATTTCAGCCGCTACAGAATTCATTCCACCAGTTCCTAGGAAGTTCCCAGGCTCAGCTGAAGCTGCTGACTTTCTCAAATAAACTGCTGATCTGGCAGACCTTCCTGTTGATGGTGAGGTGGAAAAGAGCCAGGTTTGAGGACTGGCCTCGCTGCCTCCCGGGGGCTGTTTCGGCCAGGGCAGTGGCATCAGGCGGGGTTGGCCGAGATGCCAAAATGGGCCCGGGTGGCAGGAAAACTGAGATTCACGAATCCATCCAAGCCTTAAAGAGTGCGCCCGAAAAGCATCGGGGACAATAAAAAGGGGCTGCCATTCAGTATATTCAAATGATGACACTCTGATTTCTGTGGTATGATGAAGAGGTAATTTTGGGCTGCCCACCTGTATCATAAATTAGAATCACAGACTCATCGAATCTTTGGATTGGAGGGAGCCTTGAGGTCATCCACTCCACCCCGCCTCTCAACGCAGGAATCCAAATTAAAGCATTCTATCCAGCTTTCATTCGGACCCTTCCAACAAATAGAGCTGATTGGTGCATTTAAATAGACTTGATCTGTTTTATTAGCTTGTAGGTTCTGTTTCTATTCTTTTTTTTTTAAGGTAGACTTTTTGGGAGGAGGGTTCTTAACACTTCCTAGGAGCACAAATTTATGGGGAAGGCAAGCTGGCTTTTGACAAGAGAATGCCATTTCGTGAACATGAGATCTGGCATGTGCCTTGAGTCTTGCAAAGCCATTTCTGCGAGACCCAAAAAAAAAGGAAGCAAGAGGAAATGCTTTGCCCAAGAAGAGGACCCAGGTTTGCATGCTGTGATGTTTAGGCACCGATGCAAAATTCTGAATTCTTCCCATTCATTTGAAAAGAATCCGGTCTCTCTCACCCTAGTCGGAAGGGCTGTGACTGTGAGTAGGAGACCTTTATGTTACCTACCCCATCTGGCCTATAAGGCCCGTGGCTGGGGGTGAACAACTTCCAGCCCACCTACCCTCAACGCAATCTCCTGAAGTTCATTGATTGCGAAGAGCCCTGCAAATCGAGGGCTGCCTCTTAAGGATTCTTCAAAGGCAGGGCTACTCTTTGTGGAGTAGAACTTATTGTCCTTGGGCAAACAAGCCATTGTCTGTCATTCATCCTGACCCCCTGATCTGCAGCCCGTGACAGCTCCCAGCTGTCTGGGCTGAGCCCAAAATGCTTGTTTCCCTGCCCTCCTCTTCTTCTTCCTCCTCCTCCTCTTCTTCTCATGGAAATAAACTATTCAGGGGTGTCCAGTCCTGCGGCCATCAGGAACAAGCCCATTTCATTTGCCGCCGACAAAGCAAAGGGGCTTCCCCTGTTCTTCTCCGGCAGCTGCCTTTCCAGCACAATGGACCGCTGAGCGAAGACCATCCCAAACTCAGGGATGCCTTTCTGCCCATCGTGGCTTTTCACATCAAGGCTGTCAAGGTGACAAACTCCTCTGTTTGTAGTTGTGACAAGCAGAGAAATCCTGCAGCATGTTTTCCCCTGACCGGTTCTCATTCCATCTGGTCAAACAGCGTTTGCTTTCCAAGAAGAGAACGTTGGCGATGTGTCCATGGACAGAACCTGATGCTCTTGTACATAGTTAGGGCCAAGGGGTGGCTGTCTTTCACTGCATGATCCTCTATCCAAAGGTCTGCATCCTCCCTGGCTTCCCATCTCTCCAAGCTTCTGTTCAATTCCAGGGAAAATTGATTCCTCCTGGGGAGCGTCTTCAGAGGTTGGAAAGCGTAGGCAGCCCAGGGAGGTTTCCCTGATGGAAAGCTGCGCAACCAAAAACAATCGCAATGATCAGACCTTGCCACTACCATCTAATCAGCTCGGAAACGCTACCGAGAGAAATTTGGAAGAAATTCTCAAGCTCCCTGTGAACAAGGTAGAAAAACAGAGGCACTTCTTTGCCGTTTGTATTAAGGGCAAGGACAACCCCATGCCTCTTTCACAGTCTATTTGAGCTGTTTGACCACATTGATTTTCTGAGACTATTCCCAAACAGGCTATCCTCTGAAGCCCCTTTCTCTTCATGGCAATCTCATGACATGCAGAAGGAAACAGCTCCAGACTGCAGTGCCTTGACAGCTGAGATGCCCACTAGAGGTCCACAGCCTCCTTGTTTTCCCAGTCAACCCTCTGTCCTCCATATGTTCTGGCCTGTAATTCCCACAGGGGGCTGCCATTGCCCCTACAGTCCGAGGCTAACGGGAATGGAAGTCCAAAACTTCTGGAGAGCATCAAATTGCCTGCCCCTGTGATTAATGATTTCGGACTAGAATGTGTGAAGGACTCTTTGTTCCATATCGACCCTGCTAATTGCATTCACCTCTGGGAACCTGTCTCTGTAGCCTGTTGCGTTCTCCGGAGACAGTTGTCTGAGACAAGGCGGACATGTTCTCCATTTGTGGCACCTGGATGATAGACGCCACCAAAGAAGGCTTCTAGAACGGGCTGCAGCAAGACCGTGATGTCACTCAGGTGGGCATGACAGGAATTGGGAGAACTCTGTGTGCTGTATTTGGCTCGTGTGCCCATTTTATTTGGGGGAAATATGCAAACCCTATTGGACAGCTTGCACGGTTTTATTGTTGTTTCCTCACAAAGCTCAGTGGAAATCATGCCTCCATTTCTTCCACGTTTTGCTGAACCAATTTGCACAACAGTTTTGGCTGCGTGGCTTCTGAAGGGTCCAGAATGGTGGAAAATAAATCATAAGCCGCCAGTGAATTGTAGATTGCTCGCCTTTGCCTTAAGCAGATGGTGATGACTTAACCCAAATAAATAAGCAATAGACTTTGAAGTAAGCTAAAATATGTCCTTGTGAGATATTTTAATCCTCTGTCCAGGGGTATCTATGGGGTATGGTCAAAAAAGTAAAGCTGGTGGCTGCAACAGTGCAATTTAAACTCTGATTTTTTTGCATCGCACACTTGAGACACATAAAAAACAATCACAGCGTCGCAGCCACCATCTTGATTTTTTTTTTATCATATCCTTCAGACACCCCTGGCTCTGCCTTTTTTATTGATCTATTATATTTTCCTCCTAAAGTGTTTTTTTTTTTTTTAGTTTTAATTCTTTCTGCGAAGCACCTTGAAAAGGTGAGTCATAGTGATTCAGGGCTGAAGGTTGTTGATTAATCAACCAACCAACCAGGAGTCAGAGAGATAATTTAAGATGGGTAAGATATACATTTACTTATAATGTAAAATGAGGACATTTTAAACCCCAGAATTCCTACACACCTTTAAAAGAATATCTTGTCAGGCCAAACCCGAACAATCTTACCTTCCACCAGTGACGTTAACAAGGTGACGTTCGCCGCTTTGCGCCTCCCGGCCGGTAGATTTAAACCTATCTTTTCCAATCTTTCCCTTAAACATCTTCCACCATTTTTAGATTTTGCCCTAAAACAGAAAAGCAAAAGAATGAAACAATGTGAATGAGATGGAAAAGAAAACGAAGTAATGAACCAAATAACCCCATATTTCCAAAACCTGTTCTTCAACAATTCTAAGTAAAGTTGTAAGACTGGAAATGTCGCAACAAAGTCGTGGTAAGGGTTTCATGGAGCAGTGATGACTTTTTTATATGCCTCAAAGTTCTTGAAAAAAATACATACAGGTAGTCCTTGCTTAATGATTACAACAGGGGCCAGAAAATTGGTTGTTAAGTGGGGCGGTTGTTAAGTGAATCGGACCTGATTTTATTATCTTTTTTGCAGCAGTTGTTAAGCGGAACACGTGGTCATTAAGCAGATCAAGCAGTTTCTCCATTGATTTTGCTTGTCGGAAACTGGCTGGGAAGGTCGCAAATGGCAATCATGTGACCCCAGGATGCTGCAACCGTCGTAAGTGCGAGCTGGTTGCCAAGTGCCTGGATCATGATCACATGACTGCTGGGGTGCTGGGACGGTTATATTTTTGGGCACCAGTCATAAGTCACTTTTTTTAGCACCGATGTAACTTTGAATAGTTACTAAACAAATAGTTGTTAAGCAAGGATTGCCTATATAGTCCTATCTTAACCTGGGAGAAGCTACTCCAGGTGAGATTTTTACCAAGATATTTTGGCTGACCAACTCTCTTATTTATTTTTTAAATTATTTATTTATTCAATTTATATGGTGCCCATCTCAAATTCATGACTGTAAAAACAGACCTATCAATCACAGTTTAACTTAACCCATGTACAGGCTCAGCCCCACCTCCTCCTCCACCTCCTCACTGCCTGTTACTATCAGAAAGTTTATCATCTGAAATCTGAACATTTTACACAAACAGGACTCAAGACAGCAAGGCCAGAGGTAGCATGGAGAGATAGAAACTCTTATTGAAATCAGCAACAATTAATTGCCAATGGTCATTACAGGAACAAAGTGGTTCCAAAGCAGTTATTAAACCAATGAAATTTCTGCACTCCTACCGCCGAAGGACACCACCAAGGAGAGAAGCATTGAGGCATTCGGGGGGTGAGAGCCTCCTCTGAACCTCGCCGACTGTCACTTTGTACTTGGAGGTGGAACTCAGGAGGGACAATCGTCCAGGAACAGAGCAGAAGACTTCATTTGGATTGGTTACTCCTCCTATCAGGGTGTCTTTATTCATGGTCAGGGTAGAGATGGTGGTCCCGTTGGCCTTCGAAGGGATGGGCACTAGAAGATCAGAACAAAACCAAGGATGAAGGAGTGAAAGCTACAAAGAAGCATGGGTTCATCTGGGGTTAGCAGCCCCAATAACACAGCCATGGAATAAGAATCCTAAACAGGAGACCAGAGTATGGGAAATGCAAGAGGAGCTTGTTATGGCGAACAATCCTTCAACAAAACTATTCCAAATCACCAAAGTTTTTGTCAGTAGTGGAGACATGTAGTCTTTAAGATGCCCAGAGTCTCACTTTTGCTCTTATAAATGTCTAATGTTCAAAAAGAACATGGGAATGACAGATATTTACTAGTCAGAGCAAAGACACTCTAAAGACGGAATACCTTTTCATAGCGTAAAATGAGCTTCTAAACAGAGGTAATCCAAAACTGGAAAAGAAGAAACGTTTGGCAAAGAAGTCATATTGAGTATAAGACCATTGCCTCTAAAAGCAAACTCTAGTGGTGTTACAGCAGAAGTCACATTTTTTTCTAGGTTCCAATAATATTTATCAATCCTGATTAACTCAATTGTCATTTGCCCTATTCTGAGAGATGGGGCAATATCAGTCCTCCAGTTGTGGTGGGATTGCAACTCTCATGACCCCTGTCATTGTCTTGTCTGGTTGGGGCTCAACAGGGGTATCCACAGGGTATGGTCAAAAAAAAGATGGCAGCCTCAATGGATCACACTCTTGTGGCTGCCATCTTGACTTTTTTGACCATGGCCTGTGGGACATTCCTGGAGCTGAAGGAGTTTGACAACATGGAACAAACTACAATTAATACTATTTCTCATCTTCAACCTACATATCGATCACTTCTGAAAAGTGTGCAGCTCTCAGATCTCATATTGGTAGAATCTTTGTTGCAACACCGAATTTTAGTTTTCCATCTAAAAGGTGGGAGAGACACAAGCCATAATGTAAGCTTAAAGTGGACTTATCACAGATAAGAACAGCAACATCTATGTGCATGGAGTCAAGATGCTGGAGGTGACACTGCAGGATGAATCCCTTGTCAGCCCAACAAGATAGACCAGACTAAGAAACCAAGGCCATAAAGATCAGGACTACTTTTATTGTAAAGCTATAATAACAGAATCTTGCGAGTCTAAATGTGCTTCCCCCTCCCTCCGTTTATCTTCACGTCAACTAGGGAGGGGCTTGTCTGAGACTCAAGTTACTTTTTTGGCCTGGGCTCAAGCCCCTCTTATCTGACCGTCGCCTTGGTAGCAGCTCTTCCTCCTGCCTTCAAGGCCATTTCCTATTTCCTCTACACTGCCACTTTTGTATGTGCGATGCACTTTTGTATCTGTGATGCAAATACAAAAGGATCTGCACCTGCCATCTTGCTGGTTTGACCACCCCCTTTTTGTGGATGCCACTGGTCCCCAGCATTACTGGTCCCCCACCATTGCCACTGGTCCCCCAACAAAATCCATTTAATTGTTTCGAATACTGAGCCAAACTTCGGAAGAAGTCTGTTCCATATCTGGGGCCCAGGACAATTGCTTCTCATGCCTGCCTATTCACAGAAAAAAGAGCCAGCCCAAAATCACCAAAACCTAAAACGAAAAGGGAAGTTTTGACAGCTTGGCATTGCAACTTTCCTTGTGGTTTTGATTTGTCATTTTTTTGGACCTGATGAGATGGATCGGTTATGGCCTCCATAAAAGATTTATCCAAAAGTCTGTTTAGAAATCAGGCTCTGTTTCACCCATTCTCAAAAGTCCCCTTGCTAAGAGCAGCTGTGATTCATTTTCAGAGCTGGCCATTTTGCTGACCCAGAAAAGTGTACCTTCCCTCCTTCTTTCCAAGAGCATGCCAGCTTAGTAGGAAAGTCAACACACTGCCAGAGTTTAAAACAGAAATATACATGCCTCGATCGGAAGAGTAGACTCAACATTCAGCCAGAAAGGACAAACGAAGGAGACCCCAATCAGAAGGCTTGGACAATAGGTGCATTGTGAACGGGTAACACCCTAACTCTTAGCTGAACTATAAAAAGCCAGCACACGTGACATAAAAATGGCAAATGCTTTCAAAACTAAAACAGCAATGCAGCTCAGATAAGGAAAATGGCAGTTTTGCTGAGCGTGGGACCCAAACACAGCAGCTATTCCCCCACTTGGTGGCCTCCAGATGTGTTGGCCTTCAGAATTCTTTGCCAGCGTGACCATGGGCCACTTCAGCTAGGATCCTGGGAGCCAGCATCCAGTGCACCTAGAGGTCACCAAGTGGAATAAAGGCTACCCCAACAAGTAGAACGGATTGAGTCAGTTAAACTCCATCTGACGAGCGAGGTCTAGGAAGCCCAACCGATGTAGACTTCAGTAAGGTGGGTTGGATACTAGCATTGGAGTCCATACAGAATCTTAGGAACTGCAAGAGGAATGGTTAACCCTCATTTATTAGTGAGTTCATTAAGGTGGAATCTCTTGGAATGTTTTGAATTGTTGCTTCCCAGGTTTTTCGCCAACTAAACCTAGCTGCCATTTATAAGCTACCATCCCATCTCTTGATGGTTTAATATTCCTTTGCTCTGCCAGCTGCCCCACAATCTCTCACCCTTTCCAAATTCAAGGAAACACACTGGGACCTTTAGGCACTGCTTCCAGTTGTACCTGTGCATAGGACAGGAGAATCCAGGACTACATCACAGGCAGAGAAACTCCGGTTCAAATCACACCTCAGCCATGAACCCACCAGGAGCTTCCACCATCTTAGCCCTAAGCTCATTTTTGCAAGCTTGCAATTTTAACAATGGGGCTGCCCCTTAAGGGTTGTTGCAGGGATTTCTATGATAATTTGAGATGTCTGAACATTCTAACATGCAATAATAAACTTCTGTTTATTATTCACTAGAAAGGCCTTTAAGGTTAGTCTTTAAGGTTGAGTTCACAGATAGGTTAGGCTCAGATGGGACTGGACAGTGCGTGGCTCAGGGTGTTCAAGGAACCCAACCACTGTCTCAGCATGTTATATGAACTTGGCCTTCATGTTAGGTCATTACATGGCTTATTTGATTGGACATGCACATTATACAAACCCAGCCATGATGTTTGGTTAAGCCAGGTTTACAGTTGAACATGTTGTACGGATCTAGCCTCATTTTATATAAGATTCAATCCTCTACTTATTTCCAGTTGAAGGACTGTGTGTAATGGGGTTAGAGGAGGGAGAATCTATCAATGTCTGTTTCTTTAAAATTCTTACAAGTTTTAATGTATTTAGGTGCACATTTAGAATCATAGAAGTGACCTCCGAGGTCATCTATTCTATCCTGCTCAGTGTAGGACCCTGCTACAGTGTTTCAAATAGACATTTACCCAGTTTCTCTTTCAAGACTCTAGTGAAGGAACACAATATCGTAACTGCACAGGGTGGGTATGTAGAGAGGTGGAGCTCCCTTGTCTCCACTTTGTGGGGCTGATGAAATCACAACGGCAGCTGCAAAACCGAGTGGAAAAGAAGGGGAGAAAGGTTTGGGATGTGTTGACTTGAACGGGAAGGAGGATAATAGCGATTAGGCCACCCTACTCCACATCTGCCATTGCACAACAGGCTATGAACTCAGTTCACTCAAATTGCCAAGCTATTTCCTGAACGTGAATATGAATGGCTTGACATAATCTGTTCAGATCTCATTGAGCTAGATAAACTCAGCCATCACAACAGCATCCAGGATCCAAGAGCTGGACTCAGAGGCACAGGATCAAGTTGCTACTTGACCGCAACACTTTGGGCCACTGACTTTCACCCCAACCTACTTCACAGGGTTCTTGTAGGGTGAAAGGATGGGCAGCCTTCATCTGCTTCCTTGAAAGGAAAAGTGGAATATACACATAATAAATAAATAAGGATAAGACAACTCCAAGGGATCCTTGCTACTTAGTTCCTGGCCAAAACTCTTTAAAAACAATTTTCTACGCTATTACACCCTGGGTCATCCAACTCCACAAATCCTCTCTTTGGATTAAAAGAAAAAGAAGTGGGGGGAACTTTCTCACTCCTAGCCTTTAATTTGTTTCAACAATTAGGACCAGAAACAGAAGTTGTTTTCCTCTATATCCGTGGTTTCTCAAACTTGGCAGCCTGGCTGGCTGGGGAATTCTGGGAGTTGAAGTCCACCCATTTTCAAGTTGCCAAGGTTGAGAAACACTGCTCTGCGTGGTGGATGTATGGGATGCCTGAGAATGTATAATCAGTTATACAAAAACAACTTACATAACCTGGAGTTCTTACACAGCAAAGGATGGATTTGTGATTAAGTGGTGTGACCCATTTTGCAGCCAATAAAATATATCGTTGAGAATTCATAAGTACATAATGAATAAGGATGGATGAATTAAGATTCAGGCAGGGACCTGTCCATGTCAAACCACTTCCCACCCATTTGCTTTCAAGACTGATTGTATTAATGGTACAGAAGGAGTCGTGGTTCTCAAGGAAATTCCCATCTTTTTGGAGTCAAAGCTAATATTGTATTTCTGCATTGGCTCACCCTGGGATGAACGAATCTGCAGTTGTGGTTCCTCTCCCCTTCTCATTTTTCAATTCTAAATTCACTGCATCCTCTTTTAGTCTACTTGTTTTTTTTAAAGCATTAAATTGCATAGGTCATTTGTGCATATTTATTTTAACACGCCCATTTGGTTTGCAATTTTGCCTAATACGTACAGTTTTTGCAGGGAAAAATGGCCGTAGCGTAATGCACTTTTGTACGTGGTTTTAAGGTGAATTTTGGGCAGATGTTTCCTTGACGTACATTTTTAAAAATTGGCAGGCTGCAGTGCAAAATCTTTTAATGTTCTTTTCTTATTTCACCATTTTTAAAAGACCCATTGAAACAACACCGGCTTCCGTCTGTCATTTACGGCTTCTTCTAAAATGCAACATTTTTCTAACTTAACTTGTCCTAATACGTGTTGATTTTAATGTATATTTCCTTGATGTACTATTTTTATATTTCCTGATGCTTTGCACATTTATGAATATGAATTTCCCACT